TGATGATGATGATGATGACGGTGACATGGTGACGATGGATATGTTAAACGCGGCGTTGTTGGTGATGATGGTGTAGATTACGGAGTAATAGTGATGATGTCAATGACACGGCTTTTTCGGTGGCACTAACTGACTGTGATTATGGTTATAAAGATGACGATCACAATGAAAAGGCTATATGGGGTCGTTTCATATAAAATCACTGACCAAGAGTTGACGCAACTATATACCTCAACATCCTGTTACCACAAAGAGCTGATCTGAATTTCTATTCCAAGTCAATTAGATATTGGAGAATCCCCTCGCAAACAATAGGAAATTTTGGGGAAAATTCATTAAATTCAGAATTTGTTAACATTAATTCAAAAAAGATACCACACGTGTTATTGCAATGGCACTCTTATTCAAATCTTCATTTTCTGATGAATACAAATATCCCGAGAAATAACTTGTGAATTTTGGAGCTAAAAAAGCTAAATAGCTTAGGCAATAATAAATAGGTAATTAAAATATCTTAGGCCCCACCCCAACGAAACAAACAAATAAAAGCCAAAACAACTGACAAAACAATATGGAAGACACATCAAGTATAATACAAACAAACGCAAACTGAAGAGAGAAGGGACGGTAGTTGGTCATGGAGTGTCTGGTACCGTGGCTCTTGAACTTGAGCGCGTTAATTAGAACCATTTTTGTCATTACCCCAAACCACTGATAATTACTTTTAAAAACCTCTGAAGTGGCTTGCAAGAACTACAAATTGTTCAATGGCAGGGAATATCATTTCTTACTTAATCACAAAGAATTTATCTGATTTCTGCTGCTTTTCAACGTAGAAAAAATAAATTTTTATTTAGGACTTTTGTAGCCTGCAATGCCCACAAACGTATGATGTAATTCAAATGAGCGCTTGAATGCAGAAGGTACCTCACGTTAAAATGCTGAGGTATACTCGGCGGTCTTGTTTACCCAGCTTAATTGTTCAGTGCAAACAAATGAATAACACAAGCAGTTGTCGGCATGGAGTTTTTTCCCACGTCCCTGGGCGTGAGAGCGTCCCTTGTCAAAAAGTGCATCTAACGAGGTCTCCAGAGAGCGTGACGTCTGAGTAACAACTCGCTGGTGCCTCGCGACGTGCACGCCGCGCTCGCTTATAAAACTTCATGGAATCCTTTGCCTGTAAACACTACGGGAAAAGCTGGCATCGCTCTGACACTAGAAAGCCGCGGAGTTTTCTCTCTTTTCTGTCTTACACCGATTGCCGGAGAAACTACAAAAAGAGGAGACATAATGTGGAGTTTCTTGTGCTGTGTGATGCTAATGGGTACGTATGGACGCTGTGCATTGCGACTGTAGGTTTAAAAGGCTCCCGTCTCAAAATTGTTTCGGGGGGTTTTACCGCAGTTTGAAGGCTGGCGTTGATGTGGTCACGTTGCCTCCCTTGCAAACCACATGTGGTCCGGGAGAGAATTACCTTGTCTCATTGAAATAGCACTTTAACTTCGACCGTCGAGCGATTCTGCCGCTTCTGCTTGTTTTTTTTTCAGTCCGATTAACTTAGAGCCAGGTCTCGCTACGGCAATTCCGTTTTTGTTATTTTTAGCTGCTTAAAAAATGTTTACCCTTCTGAAGAAGACGCACTGTGCAAGAAAAGACATTCATTTTCTAATTGATTCTTTAAAAAACAATGGCCCGTTGTAATCTGAAGTTGACCATTAATTTCATCTGCCATCATACAATTGACTTTAATTGTTAATGTTTGTATAATCATTACATGCATCTGTGTTACACGAAGATAATATGGCCGCTGACAATTTGTTAACATTTCTAGTGTTTAATTTGCACGCAGAACGGTAGGTCGCGAGTCAAAATGAGATATACGTATCATTACTTGTTTTGTTATGTAGCCTTTTGAGTCTTTATTACGCAGAAATGGTTCGTCCTTCCTTAATGATTTTTTTTGATAGCTCCAGACCTTCTTTTAAATGTTAGATCCTTTGTCTCAAAAAATGGATCCCAGGTGGAAAGTACAACCAGGTTAGTCTTTATTTCATCGTGCTATTGTGTTGTTTGTTAGAAAAGCACTTTGTAATATACTTGTTCTTTTCTGCGTTGGTCTACGTAAGTGTCTGACAAAATGGTATTCGAGGCACATGTATCCCTACCAGCGATTCCTGAAGATCTTTGTCAGACAAGACCCCATCTCACCCCACACACCTTTAAAGAGTAAAGGCGATACTCCCTCCATTAGCCACGCCCATAGGTTACTGCTACGTAGTCATTCCTCTGCACCATTTTCTTCTTCTTGATTTCAAAGTGTTGTCTCATTGACTTCCCCTGACTGTTTCCAATCAACGACACGGGGGACCCTTTCGGGAATTTCAAGTCCCTTGCCGGTGCCTCCTTCTACAAACCCTTGCTTGCTAATCCGGTTATAATCGCGGCATAGAGTCTGGCTTCCTTCCCTGAAGCCTTAGCTCTTCGCATGTGTTGTGGCTAGATACATCATGTCAAGTGAAAAACACGCGAGAGAGAGTGTTGAAGTTTCCATTCTGACAAAGGATATGCAGAAGTGCTTATTAATGGCCTAGGCCTTCTCAATCCTTGAGGTGAACGAGTCTATTTTCTGGTACCGTGTGGTGAAGTGTCCCTCCTAAATAATTACATTTATAAGCAAGGCTTTGACAAATTTTAAATGGGTGACAATTTGCTGACATCTGAGATGTTGGAAAGCCCACCAGCAATGAGAACAGTTTTCAACAAAATGTGCTGGAAGTATGGAATGTGTTTATTAGCAATGATGATAAAGCAAAAGATCTTCGAGAGCACAAGATGTTAAATCGTTAGTTTGCTGAGAATTCGACAGTTTCCAACATTTTCACAAAATTGCTCGATAAGTCGAAACTTGGAAAACTCCAGAGAGGCTTTTCAATACAGCAGCGCTAGTCAGCGCTCCTTTCTATGGTAGAATAATTTTATGGTGAGTAAGGAAACAACCTCGGTTCTATTCGGGCAATTTTACCTCAGGTGATCCAAAGCCCTTGATTGGATAGCGCCTGCTCAAATAAGAACTGCGTCACAGAAACTCACTGCGCATGCTTGCTGAGAGGTGAAAGGTCAAATGGGTATATTCACCTGAATGAGTCAATTCGACAGAGAGTGAAGGAAGCGGGTCCCTGGGATAAGCTCAGGAGTGACTGCCGAGAATAGGCTCAGTCGCTATAGTTTAAATGCAAGTGGTAACAAAATCCCTCGACCATTTGCACTAAAAAGCGGTATTTAAGGGAAATCTCCTCGCTTCATTAGCAGAGTTTTCCATGTTATTTCCAGCTTTCTGTATCTTTTTCAAACCTGGTTGGACTGGTGCCAGCTGAATTACTTCACCATTATTTGATTATAATTTTTAACGGTTTACTTCAGTCTTGCAATTTTGAATTTATTTTACAGATCACTTTGAGTTAGGTTTCAGCATAAATTCAGGCGATTCACAACAGCGCGCCTCCGAGAGTTTGCAACACAATGGCCAATGCTCGACATCTGTCGACCCAATTCGCTTTTTGAAAGGGTAGACAGCTTTAGCACATTGTGTTGGCCAACGCGTTGCAAACTCTCGGGGGCGCGCTATTGTGAATGGCCCGTATTGTTCACAAGCAACTGCAGAATTTCGGTACACATATTAAAGAGTTTAATGACAAAACTGTGTTTTGTGTGATTTCTGTCTTGAGGTTTGATGTATTGTACGCATCTAGCAATGTTACATAATTGTTTTTGTTTGAGATTTTTATCTGCCCCAGGGCATGATGTAATCATGTAAATGTCTGTGACAGTGTCACACAGTTCAAGTCAAGGGGCTTCCTGTGGGCGTGCAGTATGTCTTTAACAGATCAGACACTCGGAGTAATGCATTCTTCGTTGTTTCTGCTTTCCAATTAAGTTGTCATGGCCAGGGCCAATCCTGTGCCATTCGACCAACCACCAGCCAACCTGGACACTCCCGACGACCAAGACGTCGGCCTGGCTAATCCCCAGGGGGGCAGCTCGTTCTTTGTCCCAGGCAGTAGCACATCCTCCAGTAGCTCGAGCGAGGAAGACTACGGCAGCATCGGCTTGCCAGATGGCGGCGGCAGCGTGCCGCCTGGGACCGCTCAGCCGGGAAGTGGGCCCGTGGTCGGCGCGGGCAGAGCGGTCGGCGGCTCGGCAAAGGGCAAGGAGCAGTCAGCTGGAGGCAAGGGAGCCACGCAGGGCGTCAGCGACCAGAACAGCGGGGAGAAGTCGGGAGGCGGCCTGTTGGTGGCTGGCGACCCGGCCCAGATGTCCAAGATCCACTCCGAGCCGAAGAGCAACAATTTCCAGTCCAACTCCGGCAAGTCGGCGGGAATCGCCATCGGCGTCCTCCTTCTGGTCTCCGTGGCAACAGTGGCCATCATCTTTGCCATTCGGAAGAGGAGAGATGGTTTCATGCGTTTCTATTCCCAAGCCAATACTGAGCTATAAGCACGCAATGGAAATCAACACACTGCACAAATCCGAAGACCTGCGTTACACGTGACAATCATGGGCATTATCATGAAGGGTAACACAGACTGCGCGGATAAAATCAGAGATTTCAATGATAGCTAACGCGCTGAGAAATATCGCGGTTTGTGAAAGACAAAAGAAAAATAAATTGCTGATGAAAACCTACACCAGTGATTTCAATTTCCACATCCAATCACTCTTTTGCCTCCGCAGATACATAACTCAAAAAAAAGACCCGAATCACGCTGTTAGAACCGAAGTCTGTTCATATTACTGTACATATATAGATTGGAGGTAAACTGTACTTAAATGCCATTACAAAAGATGCTGCACTCATCAAAGAAATTGTAATTGATATTAATTGGAAAAATTCGGCAGCATAGATTAATTAAAATTCTGTAAAATTCAACTACACCTGTAAGTATGTTGTACTAACGGTATATTTCACTGATCGCTGTGGCCAGACAGAAGTTTATTTTTCTTTTCTTAACTGTATTAAATCTTGTAAGATACCGTAATGCAATTGCTTTCTAAAATTCAAACCCAGGCTGGTTGTGTACATAGGCTTTTCGGAGACGATATATAGCTCTCTATAATGTCTGAGCAGTTAACCCAAATATAATAATTTTGGTCACTCATGCATACTTAGGTACATCTTTGTCAGGTACTAACTCTTGAGTGTCCACTCTCACTTTAATACGACTCGGTATAGACCCGAGTCAGCCACATGTGTTGGTTGTATATCCGGGATGGAACCAAGAGACTAAAGCCCGAAGTCGCACCTATTTATCCAGTTCAGTCATCGGACAGTTCTCCTGGGGAATGCAGTGACACATATGCCAAATTAAACTCGACGGCAAGAAGTCAACCTTGTCCCATCCTATTGGGTTTCAAGTATACTCCAGTTGGAAATGTGTCAAAATGATCACCCCAGTTAAGGATCTGAATTACTGTCTCAATACCAATATCACTTCAAAGAACGTCCTAGATTTCAGCAAGCAGGTGATGATAGTTTCAGTTTGATTATAGAGGAAGGAACACGATGTAAGACGTAAGAAATTGGTTGTACTTTCTTATGGAGATACACTTGTGATTTTAATTTTTTTCCCTTTTTTTTTACTTTTCAGTAATTGATTTTTCACGCAAAAAGTAATATACAGGCAATATTTGTATATTATGTCTACGGAGCTTGCTTGATATGCATAAACAGGTTTATTTGCGTAATATTTTGGAGGCAAATTGATGAATAAAAGTAAGAATGTTTCAATAAAATTATCGGCCTACATAGTTATTCTTTATTGGGATAGTAAATTGCTTCCATCCCATGGCTTAGTATTTACTTTAATTAAAAGCTCTCTATCGTTAAAGAAAGACAAATGGTCTGGCCGAAATTTTTAAAAAGCAGTTATATTTTATGGCCTCATACTTTTATTTCTTCTTTTGTTCTCGGTTTGAACCAACTCGGAAACAGATTAAGATCAAAGGAGCGATGTTGAAATTTCATCATCATCTCCAACAAATCAGAACTTGTTACCAAGAGTAATTCTGACATGATACCTGATTCTCTCTTGAACGGTTGAATCTTCAACAGTGCATTTTGGTTCTTATAAGGACGTTCAGGCCAAATGGAGCGTTGAGACTACTCGCATCCTGTTGACAAGGAGTGGCTCCGTTACGTCCATTTTGTTTCCATGAATTAATTCGGTACACCTGACCACATAACCATCGCCATCTGTCTTGGCGATTGGCCGTCTTAAATGACGGGGAGTCTAAATCGTATTTTGTAGCTTCGGCTTCGTTTATTTCACATAAGAGCGCCACGGCGAAAGTAGTCGTAGCCGTGAATAGCAATGCCTATTTCGGACAAGGGCTGACAACAAAGATAGCGAATGGAAGAGGCTCTTGGGAAATATACATGGCGCCATAGCAAGTAATGTTGTCACAGCTCTGCTGCATGTTTGAATGCACCGCCACCAAGAGTCTTCACACATAATTTTTATCGAACTTTATTTTCATGGTCAGTCCTCGCCTTAAGCTTATACCACTGCAAGCCTTTAAGCTTATTTGTGCCAAAAATAATTTCACGGCATTTAGATCAGTGGAAATGTTCGTTAACTTTTTTTCCCGGATCCTTTCTCAAAGTTTAGGGGTAGTTAAATTCGAGAAGGTCATAGTTCAAGCTTTCCCACACCCTAGTCCATAACCTTACGCACCCCTCTGTAAATCCGCGTCTTTTTCTCTCCCACACTAAAATCACGTCCGCCCGGAACCTGTGAATCAAGAGTCCAAAAATAGCGTTCCTGGTGAGACGAGAATGCACATGTGAATCGGTCGTCAAGGTGCCGTGGGTAACCTTAAAGATGTGAATGTCACAGGATTTTCTTGCTCTGCAACCATTTGCAAGTGCCTGCAATACAACTGAATGACTAACACCTGATTCGTACGGTATACTCACTGCATTAGGTTGGTGAGGCGGTATCACCATTTGAACCTCAGTACCACGACAGTAAAGTCGCCATCTGACCTGTGCTGGTCACGTCAGATTTCTCAAAAAACCGTCAGCCGAGAGCTTTACGGTACACTCACGTGGTATTTTTTTTCTCTCAGAAATGACGACTTTGTAAAATTACTTTTTCTCCAAATTTAAACAACGATCTTCTCGTCTTGAGATGTTGCCAGAGATTTCAAAGGAATCCAAAGATATCAGGATGAGAGAGAAGAATATTAGAAGTTAGCTGTAAGTTCAGATACATTACATTATACGAATTATGATGACGTGGGATGCGAGTACTTTTATAAAAGACTGACTGCTCCAGTTACATTTTCGTGGCAACTTCAAAGGGTTCCATCACCTATAATATCAATCCAACAAAGGAGCCTTTAATTAACCTGCCCCACTTTCATGACATATGCCTAATTCCTGCCCAACTTCCAAACGGCCTACTTACTCGATTTTAATGGTAGGGGCACAATTACTCGATTATACTTGTCCAAGCCGACACCCCTCGTGACACACCTACCAGGCCGCCTCGGTCCTATCGTCGATATAGAAACTCTTTCGGGAGCCCTGAGTGATTTGCCGGTTGTTTTTTTCACGGACGTGAGTCAGGGCTTGCTTCCTATAGCTCGAAGATCTCTGAATCTCATCTGAAGAGTGGCTGTTCTGGCCAATTGTTTCTTGGTCGGGACCACCGAATACACAGAGGAAGACGTCCACGATGTATTTTTTTAAGAAATGGGCGTTTGCAGTTTCGAAAAATGTCGTCATTACTTCGATATTATTTGGGAAAATCCAACGACGTAAATAGAGTAAATCGTTTTGACTGGGTTGTTAAAACGTTTGTTGTCCCATCCCTCAAGCTACAGGTAAAAATTGGGTTACACAATCATGCGCCCCCCCCCCCATTTCATGGCTATGTCCTATTTTAAGCCTACCCCTTGCTGAGTAACTTGCCGTAGGGAAACTGTTTTAGTCTGCAGGTTTCCATCGAACTGTCTCCGTAGAGAGACGTGATCGGGGCTTCCAACATCATCTGTTCAGGGGATTGTGACCTCGTGACATAGTTAAGACGGCTGAGGTGTACATGTGTTGTGCTCAAGCAGTACGGGCGTTTCACAATAGTGCGCCTCTAAAAGTTTGCAACGCGTTGGCCAATCACAACAAATGATATCTGTCGACTCTTTCCGAACGCGCATGGGGTCGATAAACTTCGCACACTGTGATTGGCCAACGCGTTGCAAACTCTTGGAGGCGCACTATTGTGAATCGCCCGTATTCATTGTTTACGATATCGGAAAAACCTCTTACAGTCTGCGCGCACCGGTCTGAGGGATCGTAATTGCGGGGGTAAATTAGAGGTCATGCTGAAACTCCTTAATGACTTATACGTGTACACCCTGATCCCCCCCAAAATGTCGTACATTAATGTTAACCCAAGCCGTTTCTCAATGCCACTGAATTTCACATTTTTCAAGGACCTGTCATTTTTACATGTGAGAGCTGTTCCTCAAACCTTTGCAATAAATCCATGTTTTGTCTTTGTATCACGAAATTTGGTATCAAATATTGCAGTATTTCACCTCAAATGACTCACCCTGTGCAATCAAGTACTTCTTGAAACTGATCCAAGAAAGAAAGAAAGAGACTATTCCTGGACATTTTTAATGCCCTGGAAAAAATCCCTACCTCCTGTCCGAAAACCTAACTCATTGTTTCCTTGGCACGCTATTCTGGAAGCCAAGGCTTTGCTGCAAGATTACACGTTCACAGCAATTACTATATAAAGAACAGAATAGAAAGTATCTAGTCGAGGATAATGGATGATTAAAAAAGGATGATTCTATGGATGATTCAGAATCATTGCAATCAAACATGTTGCACTTGAAATTTACAAAGAAGATTCAGAACTCCCTTGAAAATGAATCGTTGAAAGAATGAAAGAGCTAAACCAGTGAAATGATGTTTACAGGCTCACACATGGAAAGCATCACCATCTTGACCGCTTACCGCAAACGAATTTCTGTTTTTTTGTGTGTGATGAAAATGGTTAAATCCATAGTAGGGTTAAGTGAGGTAACGCCACCTGCAGGGATTACAAAGGAAGACACTGCACGGTATAGTTTTTAGAGAATCGTTCTTGGATTTATGCATTTCAAAGAGGCCTTTTCTGAAAAGGGCTTCCGAGAATCTTTTACTTAGAGATTTGCCCACCGAGGAACCTGTGAAAACCTTTATATCTGGTCTGCAGTGCATTTTGTAGTTTTACTTAGAAAAAAGGCCGTATCGAGAGGTGGACATTCTAAGCTCCCAGGATGAAGCTGGTGCAGACATTCATTTCCTTTAATGAAAAAACTGTTTCAAAAAGGTATGACATCACAGAAGAGGGATAAGCATATGCCGTAGACTTGGTGCCAAGTCAGTAACTGATTTGATTTTGCTCTCCAAGCGCAATTTCGCTGCAGTGTGATCCTCACGGGTATAAGTATTTCTGTCCTTGTGCGTGGGCGTCGGTTGCCTCGTCCCCAACTTGCGGATAATCGACCAGATAAGTCTAACCTTGGTCACTTATGTTGCTATAGAGCCGCCCCGAAGGACTTCGACTGAAGTTAAACGGCAAAATAAAGGCTCGTCATCAAGCCTTAGCCCTTTCTTCCTCTCGGGTTTGTTATTGGTTGGCTAAGAACGGCATTGTCGTTATGTTCAACACGATTTTGCTCTGGCTTAATTAGCCATGTCAGTGTCACCAATCTGAAATTGTATCAAGGGAAGTAGATTCAAATCGATCAAAAAGCCTAGACGGTAATGTGCACTGTGATAAGAAGACAATAAGTTCGTGGCCTCCACTCCCGGCTGCTATACATCTGAGACTTAAGGAATGGATGTCTCCTTCTGCTTCCCTTTACATGTCATTATTATGTTTTGCACTCAGAGCAGAGCACGGAGTCAGTACGTTTTTTAACCAAGTATTGTCAATTACCCTCACACGTGTGCGCCATTTATCGACGGAGTGGTTTACGGGAATGGGTTCATTGCAAAAAAAAATACTCTATTAATTTCGGGGATAAAATCAATTTAATTACTTGATAAGTAAATCAGTAATTACTTATTTAGAGGTTTAAATTAGACAACGAAATAATGTGATTTATAATTTCAATCAGATTGTATATTTCATCTCAGGATGTACATTTGGTTGTTGAAAATTGACTCTAGTAGAGACACTCATTTCGGTCGTTATTTTACTCGAAAACGTCGAACTTTGAAAAAATTCTTGTCGGCGTCGACAAGGAGGAACTGTTGCTAGACGCACGTAGTGGCAAGACGTCAACACCAAGTCGTCTGTCAAACTCATAGCGAAGTGTGTTTTGGGTGTCAAGTATGATGCTCAAAATGGAGGTTTCCTGTTAACTGCAGGTCAGTTGCTTGGATACGCGACTGTCACGTAAATGATAACAAAAGTGTTAGGGGGATGTGGAAGTTATGGCCACCACAGGCATGACTCAGACTCGACCACAATGCAGCAAGATAAGGAAGCTTACAACCGTACATAGGAGCATATATAGTCTAGTGTTTAAGATACATGTTGTTAAGGGGGTATTATAAGCATTACTCTAGAAAGCTCAGCTAAGTCCACTGTCATTTCACAAGGTCTTCTACGACAAGTTGCTTGCAAATTGTCCTTATGCATTTATCTAAAGTCGGAAATATTAATGGAAGGTCCTTGGATGCTCACTGTCAAGTATGACCTTTAAACGTGTAATGGAAAATACTATTAGAAATGTGACTGTTCGAACATGTCAAAAAAGGTGTCTTTTACTTGCACAGCCATGTACGGTGGGGAAAAACTAATCCTAAACCCTTGCATCAGTAGAGGAATGAAAATTCAGAACCGAAATGCCAGCCTGTCTGTGATGGCGCCCACTACGTCCTCAAGCGAAGTAACGCCTAAAGGGACTTACACCCTGCTTCACGTATGGAAGAAGCGGTTGTGGTTTTTGACTGTTTCAGAGTCACGTGTCATAATCAGCATTTCCCCAAATCTCAAAACATTGACGCAACTTGGCTGCCAACACGAAACGAGGTCCCCCCCCCCCGATAACAGGAGGAGGAGAAATGGGATGATGACCGGAGGAGGTGGTAGTCGTGCTTCGCCAGGGGTTTTAAACCATCCGCTGTCTACTGCATTTATTCAAGGCCATGGACAACAGCGAAAAGCGTATTGGGTGCATACGTAAAAAATGGCCAGACGAGGTAAAAAATAAAGAGTTTTAGTGGACCCAATATTCCCCTTTAAACCTGTACCACCTCACCCAAAAAGGAGAAATGATTCGATGAATGCATGCCCACACCTGCTTGAAAATATTTTGTAAGCCTACATGATTTTCAAATTGGCGAGTCTTTGAAAATGTTTATTGATCTTTTCGGGTTTTATCATCCATACAAGTGGTTCAGAACTATTTATATGGTATCTTAGGATTCTTGAGATGCTGTCTGTATACAGGTTCATCTTAGGATTCGCGTAGATGTACAAATAACAGCCCAAGCACCTCTGAGAATTGTCACTGTGGGCAAATAGTAACATTCCCTCGTCGTCGACATCTTGGTCTTCGACCCTGACGTCTTGGAGAGAAAAAGACGAGCGTCACACCAAAACCAAGAGCCAGACTGAAGGAGTCCTGCACATTCAGGGGTCCTGACCCACAATATCAAGAACGGACGATTTCCATCGGGTACCCTGGCAAGACACAATCTTGTCAATCTTAATTTAAAATCAACAATATTACAACGTAGGGGGTGTGGCGTTCCCCAAATTAACGGTAAAACTGAGGCTGCGTCATTCGTGTACACGCCTGTCTAGCCTTCGAAATGACACGAGTAAAACAAAACCGTAAGCAATTTAAAGTTCTCCTAGACAGCCTGGTAATTTGACCATTCGCCTACTTCCTTTTTTGACCAATCATTATTATAACCCCCTCTTTGAATCTAGACGACTGTAGATGCACCTGTCAAACAGTCAGACATTACAGCAGGTACTGATTTATTTTGCTGGGTGTTTTTCGTTGTTAAAGTGCTAGAATCACACAAAATAGAGATATTACATTACATAATTTAAATATTAAGAGACGGATTGTTGTGACGATTTCTGGTTGCAAATGCCGCGATACATTGGCATGTTTGAGATAAAGATTTGTTTTTGACAGGGCGTCTGTGCATGTCAGATTTTACGTCTTTGTTCTCTTACCTTGTAAACATACTTCCATTCGGCTGTCAAAGGGGACTGGTTTAACAACACATGCGTAAAACGTTGTAGGGCCGTGAACCCGCCAAAAATAGCAAACAGGGCCTCAGATTCATCCGCGTTTAGGCTGGCCTGGGAAATGCTCGTGCTTCCAGCCAATAAGAGACAAGAGTGCGTCAGCATGAAGTCTGTGTTGGTTGCAGAAATAGCAGACGACATCCGCTGCAGGAGTCATAAGTAGGAGGTTTCCACAGCCGTGCCGTATCCACCTTTTTTGGCATTTTCAGTCTGTTCTTCAAGCAGAGGAAAGCCGAAGAAACAAACATGAAGTGGCTTCTTTTAGTGGCAGTCATTGCGGGTAAGCTATCCATTTTCCGTGGAATCAGTTTTTTGTTTTGTTTTGTTTTACCAGAACATTGTCCAATTTGTATGAACATTACACGTGTAAGGTCTTGTCGCAACGTCCGTTTACAGTTCACAGGCGGTTTGAAAGAAGAGTAAGATTTGTAGGCGGCGGAGAGAGTTTAACATGTTGAGTTTCTAACTACTGTTTTGTGGGAAGCGGTAGGCCATCCAAATCACGATTTCAATCAAACACAACGCGTATAAAGTAGTTGCTGTGAAGGTATAACCTCGCTGACACAAACCATACTTCTGTCAAGTTATTTCACGATTTGATTGCTCGAAATAAGAAAACGACCCTTGAACGAGTAAGAATTTTCAAGAAATGCAACTTCATGAAGGGAGCTCATTCATAAAATATCAAGGCATCTTTTTCTTATGCTGAAAATAAAGGGATCACAAAAGTCAACAACGTGTAAAGGAATTTTTCATTAACGGTCAGTCGTCAAGACCAACTTGGATCCACACCTAACGTGGTACATCACTGAAGTATTTCTTGCATTGCAATAGGGCAAATTTCTCTAGGGAATAGTAGACGGGACAACATTACTCCCTTCTGTACCTGCAGGCTAAAGGGTTTTAAATTTACTTATCGACTACCACAATAAATTTAAATTTAAACTCATTTTTCTAATATAAATTAGATAAATAATATAAAATGGAAGAGAAAAATGGAGGTTTTGAGGGGTTTATGGTTTATTGCTCGATTTGATCTATTATTTTGTCTTATAGAATGCTCGCACAGACTCAGTGGGACTATTCATGTAACCCTGTGGTTTAGAGGCTATGTTTACATTCGCATTAAGTGCAGAATTCCAACAGTTTTGTATCATCGTTGTGTATTTTTTAGGTTGTCTGGCCCATCTAGACGCCTCCAAGATCATCAGGCGAACCAATTCCGGAGAGGTTGCCAACACTGCATTCTTCGAGTTTGCCAACTCAGGCGGAATCGACGGCGCCCTGGAGGCAGCAGGTGACACCGTTGGCGGAATCGGAGGCACTGGAGGCGCCACTGGGGGTAATGATGCTAACGATGACGGCGGTGACACTCCGGACGGCGTCGACGGCGGGGGTGCGGCAGTGGCTGGCGGCGGCGGTAACGAGGTAGGAGAGGGGGACAGCCCCGACGGCGCTGATTCCCCAGACTTCAACGCCCCGAGCAGAGGCGGCGGGTTCCGTGCCGGAAACGGCCGTCCTGTCCTCAAGAACAGCGGCCAGTCGCCGGTGGTGGACGACCAGGCGGAGCAGGCAGGTGACCCGGGCCAGATCGTAGGGACGACGGCCACGGCAGGGACCACTGCGGGTATTGTCGTGGGCGTGGTCGCTCTGGTGGGCATCGCTGCAGGAGTTGCAGTTTACGTCATCAAGAAGAGAAATTGAACTGAAGAAGGTCCAAGTGTTGTAAAAACCGGGCGCCCTGGGACAAGCAAAGGAAGTGTGGAACAGTTCCCACAAATCTTCGAATGGCGACCCATATTGTAATCAGTCTTCCTAGTATTTAAATATTCAGAAAATGTTTATGTAATTTAAAATGTCCACAACAGCTGCGCGCTGTAGTTCGTGGGTTTTCTTTTCTGAATGTAGTTCCTGCTGTGATTCGCAAACGGTAACTTTCTGCCATTCTGTAGCACATCTTTTGGATTATGTCTTTTTAACTACCATGCTTTCATTCTGCCTTATCTTTTTCTAAATGGGAGTCAGAAGAGCTGTTAAGTTCACGAGGATGCAAGAGTCACCGATCCATCGGGTTGAATTCCTGGCGTTGAGCAGGTGGGGAGAGAAAGTTAATCGATTGAACTGGTAACGATAGTCATCGACCTTTGATGGTTTATGCTATTCTTTCAATGCTGGTGTCGTTGTCATGAAATATGTTTTCAATAATTCTAGTAGAGTTTTGGGGATTCACACTAAAATTGCAACTTCCAGTCTGTCTGCTGGTCAGGACGTCAAAATGTACATAAACAAAACTCAATAAACATGTTGTATTATAAATATTTTGTCTTCGCTTCCTCTGAATGCTGCGAAAATAATCTTCACAGCACGATAAACATGATTCATTTAATTAGCACGGCCTTGCACTACTGACCTAAGCGCTGTATTATAATCTATGCAAGGTACGGGAGACTGGAGAAATAAAAATACTAGAAAGCCATTTTATCAAAGGTTGAAATTGCCCTCCTGGCCTCTTTTATTCTGAGTGTTTTGTGTTGCCTGGGCCGTTTTCCAATACTCAACTTCGTCTCCGTCTCAGGCTTCTTTCCCAAAACCAATCCCCGATTGTGGGCCTGAAGCGTTTAAATTACATTTGATTACTGTAATTCTTGGCTCTCTTGCATCTTATTTGATGTTTTGTGGCACTATTAGACTAATTACTGAGCTTGCAGCTTCAAAGGCAGCTGGTTAAAAAAACAGTTGAAGCCTGAGACGGAGCCGAAGTTGAGTATTGGAAAACGGCCAAGATCAGAATAGTTCAAAATGTCAACTCATTGAAGAGAAAAAGATGAACAAGTCGCCTACACATAAAATAGACATACATGTATTTTATGCAAGTTTATATGTATTGGAGAAGGAATAAAACTGGGATTGGGGTTTGACCTGGTCTTCGCAAGGATAAAGATAATTAGTTTCTGTCGGTGAGAAAGTGTCTGATTTACCTGGCTACAGCCAGGGGTAACACACGTCTATGGGAAACGGCTGTAGCCGTTGGCTAGCAGCTTTCATAGGCGCACGTGCTATCTCTAGTCGTAGTCATGTTCAGCGCCAGCGCAAGCTGTAACCTAAAACAACACTGGCAATAATTCATTTTCAAGGGGAGAGGACGCTCCAACCCATCGTGCATGTTGTTTTGCAACCTCGACTCCATGGGCGAGTGCGCGTTCCTCAGATCGCACAAGGCATGATGGGAACCAACATGGCGCGGCAAGATCGTATCCATGGGAACGAGGTGATGCTTACCGCAGTCACTTACTGACACCACACAGTAATTGTGCAGCTGTTAGTTTGCTCAAAGTGGTCCTCAGACTAACGGTTAGACACCACTAACGAGTTTCCGCTGAGCGGTCTTGACGCGGTGAGTCGCACGAGGAGGGCGCTGTTTGATTTGCATGGCAGCCGGTGAATTCAAAAGTGCAGTCACCCTGGACCTGAGGATGCTTGTAGCTTTCGTGACCCTTTCTTTCGCCAAACCACAGTGATAGGTGGCAATTTTCATGAACCAATATTGTTAGCCGCCAATGTGGTATAACATCAAGTAGGCTATTACGAACATAAGGTATGCTAAAACACGAAGGATGATATCCTTATCTTAAAAAGAGAGGGTGTAAAAAAAACTCTGCATTTGTGGGAGAAAAAGATTTCGACAACCAAGGTTGAATATATGCACAATGTTGATCACCTAAACGAAATCTTTGGAAACAAATTTGAAATGTTTCCATTTTTATGTTTTTTCATGTTCTGTTAAGTTCAATCCGAAGCCATTCTTTTACCAGAGAGGGTCACAGATCAGGTCTTTGTACTTGAAACATGGCTTATAATAAATTAGAGTCTAGCGTACAGGCATCTTCAAACAGTGAAAATGCGAATGATCGCTATTAATCAGCGCCTTCGATTACTTTCTTCATACTTTACACATATGAAAAGCACGACTGCGTTCGATATGACACTCGTAACTCCACACTTATCCTAGCCTGGCCCTAGTATTAAACCGACCCGCAGAGTGCGAATTTACCGAAGTTTTCCATCCACGAACAACAGACTGTCGCTTAAACGAACGACAAGATTGACAAATGTAAATTTGTTGAGCACACTTAATTACGGTTACAAGGTTGTTTTCAAAAGGCCTGTGATTTAAATTGGCTGCCTCAGTTTTTATTTGTTTTTTATGAATAAAAAATGCCTATTTTCAGCCAACAATCAAACAAAGGTTGCAAAATAATCTTTTTCCCAAACGAGAGCAAATTCCAAAGACCTAGGCTTGCCATTCTCTGAGTGCAGGCTTCCTTAAGGAACCTAAAAAATAGGACTTAATTTCCAGGGTGCCACGTTTCAAAAATCCATACCAACTTAATGCTCAGAGAGGCAGGCAGCTCTTGTTCTATCTGCATTATCCTTCATATGCTGCAGTCTTCTAACTGGAGGAAGAAATCGATGGGCACGTTATGCTTATCAGCTCAATGGAATGTTTTACTTTGAGTGTGCACACGTGAATTTATAATGATCCTATTATGTCCTCGGCGGTTTTTTGCCCTTATGGAGGCCAAAGCTGTAAATCATTTCAAACGGCTCCGGTGGAGGAAAAGGTCAGACTCAATGCATCAGTGAAGTTACTGGGTTAGCTGCAACCGTGGAGGAAAAGTGCAATTTTTGACCAAAACAGAGACAAGCGCCCTCGTTCGGGTAACACATCATCCAGTGAACCAAGCACCGCGGACACCAAAACGGCTGATTAAAAAGCGCCCTCAAACTGTACAGAGTTTAGAACAAGTAATCCGAGTCCTCCTTGGTTAATACAAGTACAGGAACAAGCGCTTACTTCGAGAAAAAGTAGTCGGTAACCGGAATTCATTTGCGTCTGTTTCGGCAAGTTTGGGCCATTCACTATCTTTTCGTTTACATCAAAGGTGATTTTGATTGCCCCAATGCTGGTGCTCTCGAGCCAAAGGTCGGGGTCTGTTCTTGACATGGTTTCCTGTTCTTTGGGCTCGAACGGCGGGAACACGATGATCCAAGAGCACTGTTCTCAGGAACAGGATCACACACCACCTTCTTATCAGGGTTTTACGGGATGACACAGAAAAAACTCGTGAGATTTTGATTTGTGAACAGCATGCAATAAGAAATAGCGAGATGGCTTACAAAGCCGGAGATAATGGGAAGTTTTGCCAAATGAACAATAATAATTTTCCACAACACAAAAATGAATGTTCGTTTTTAAATAGAAGAGAATTTAGCTCAGTTATTCAAACATTAACCCTCGACGAACGTAACGGACGCCGTCATTACATTTTATCTTCTGGTAGTGTACCGGTACTACGAGCAATAACCAGTTCAACGTTCCCGGCGTTCGAGCGGCTGACCACGAACAGATTGAGCTGTTCGTGAACGTTCTAAAACAAGCCGCCAGAACTAAGCCAAATCGGACGTCGCAAGCGCGGGAGAGCGTGCTAACTGCGTTTTATGCCGAGTCAGCCAAGTCTTCCACGGTGACCAATCCCCGTCAAACTCTGACACCTCGAGGCACCATCTATAACTGCACGTACGTGAAAATCAGTTTGCGAACAAAATTATGCGCCTCCAATATTGCTTGCA